TGACAGATGGCTTAATCTATGAAATCATGAGAGTGGTAGTTTAGCTATCTCTGTCATATAATGCTGGTGCCTCATAAAAAAACAGTTCCCATGATTCGATAGCATTGAGCTTCTGTAGTTGAAATGATGTTAAACTGCATTACTTTTGGAGTGTAGATGTCCTCCAGAACCATCAATGTTTTATTCAGGCATTACTTACCCAATCTGAATCAAAACACAAGGAGGGGATTATCTTGCTGTCTCATCCTCCCGCCCCCATCAATTTCCTCATGTGAAAAAGGGCAGGACTGAAGAGGAGGCATCCTGTTTACATGGAGAATCTTCTTGTGAGCAAGAACCCTGACTATCTCATGCACTTGCTCTTATGGAAAGAAATCTCTCCTCTTCCAACATGCTATTTTCCACATGAGAAAAGTGATATGGAGTCAGGCAAGGCTAGGCATTCCCTTCTCAGTGATTCATTCTGACTAGGTAACACCTGAACAAGGCTAGAGCCATGGTTTCTGTGGTGGGAAGGCTGGAATTAAGTAGCTTGGAAATGAAAGTGTTCCAGTGAGTCATTCAGCTGTCCTTCAGCTGAACAACAGGAAGAATAACAAACTCCTTCAAAGGAAATGGTGTGGGATCCCCAGCAAATGTGTGTTCCCTGTATTGTGAGTTGAGCGCTGGCCAGCGTCAACACTTAGAACTGCCTTGAAAGTACAATCCACCAATTCAATCCTCATTCATTTCCTTTTCTCTGGCCTGACAGTGTGCATACTTTGTGTGGCAATACAGTCAGTCAATTGCTCCTGCTCTCTCACCAATTCAATCCTTAAGTTGGTTATATATTTCTGAAATCACCCAGCCAAAATTAGATATTTTTAAAGTCCTTTTAATGTTAAGAAAAGTAACTATACAAGCTTCTCATTCTGTTGTACTACATAATTTTAACACACATATAAACAAATTTAACAGATGCAGAGCCCATGCATTGCCCTATTATTGTACCTACCCACAAGTCATTGCTGACTCCCATATCCACTTTTTCTGAAAATAAAAGGACACACCTATTTATTTTTGTCTTGTCCAAATTTTGGTGGGCAAATTCCTACATCAAAATCAAGCAGTCTAAAGTCCATGACAACAAAGCCTTGCACAACCAAGAGACAAATCCGATAGAAAATATCCAAAATTATGTTTGAGAACAAAAGCCAACATCAGAATAAAGTCCCACCAAAGTGTCAGGAAAGCCAAGTGCAAGGGATTCAAAACCAAAATCCAACAGCAATCCAAGACTGAATGGCAACAATGCCAAACAATTACAATGTCAGGAATCTAAGAATTGAGGAAATGCTAAATGCCAACAGCCCAACTATAAACACTTTGCTTTTAGCAGTTTCTACAGCTTCAGACTGGGAGTGCATCTACACTGTAGAATTAAGGCAGTTTGACACCATATTAACTGCCATGGCTCAATGTTGTGGAATCCCCAAAAATTAAACAATATAATACAATTGAAATATAATAATTTACGGAAAAAAGTCAACAATCAAATTCACAATTGGAAAAACTGGAACTGTGATATGTCAAGCAAAATTAAGATAGCCAAAATGATGATTCCCCCCTAATTAATATTTTTGTTTCGAGTCCTACCATATAGTATCCCCACCAAAATAATCAAGAAATGGGACAACTTTTTAAAAAACTTGGATGGCAGGAGCAAACAAAAACAGAATTGGGTTGTTGTAGGGTTTTTGTTTTTTTTGGGGGGGGGGCTATATGGCCATGGTCTAGAGGCATTCTCTCCTGACATTTCACCTGCATCTATGGCAAGCATCCATTGCCATAGATGCAGGTGAAACGTCAGGAGAGAATGCCTCTAGACCATGGCCATATAGCCTGAAAAAACCTACAACAACCCAGTGATTCCGGCAATGAAAGCCTTCAACAAAAAAAGAATTGCCGACTCAATATTTTACTTCTCAGCAGTGACATGAGAGAAGCCTCCCACAAGGATGGTAACACATCAAAACATCCAGACATCCCCTGGGCAATGGACTTGCAGACGGCCAATTCTCTCACACCAGAAACGACTTGCAGTTTCTCAAGTCGCTCCTGACACGACCAAAAAAAAAGTAGGAAGGGAAGGATGGCAGGAGACAATTCAGTTGATGAAGAAGCAGGAGGCCTCAGCTTGGATGGAGAAGGAATAAAAGTGAAGAATTGGAGAATAGTTCCCCCCTCCCAAAAAATACCCAAAAGAGAGAGATGCACTTAACCCAAATTAATGCTTGCATGTGATTAACAATATGCCACTCTAAAACTTCCAGAATCCCCAGGCATCAGCCATAGTTGATTACAGGGTTCTGGTGGTTGTAGTCAAAAAAGTAATTAATCTCTGAACATCTGGCCTCAGAGAGCCTTAGTGAGAAATAACAAAATATTCCCACAACCTGACTCTTGCCCCTCAAATCACAGTACATTGTGATTTTACAATCTGTCGCACAAAGCGCCAAAGCTGAACACTTTGTGCACTTTACTGAGTTATGCCTCTGACTATTTGGTTTAAATGTTCTCTTCATACCACTTCCATCCCTTCCTTTTCATTCCCACTGCTGCTTTCAAATGACCTATGATTTGGATCAAGATGTGATTTGTGCTTCGATAGATATTGGCTGAGCTTACACAGTCTTTTGGAAAATTAAGGCTTGGCCCTTAACACATGGCTTCTGGTTTGCTTCCTGTGAGACAGCCAAGAGTATAATCAGTGCATGCATTTCAAATAATAAAAGATGCCAAGGAGACTGAGTCACTGTTTCCCATTTAATTAGACTGAAGCAGGATGTGTGGCTCATAAACACATACTGGGGGAATTGATACGACACAATTATTCACAAAGCCTCATGAGTCTTGGTTTCCCAGTATCTTGTCTCCAGATTCCCAGTTCTAAACATGGCATGAAAACCAGCATGGTGTAGTGGTTTGCACACTGGACTATGACTCTCGAGACCAAGATTTGAATCCCCACTTGGCCATGAGAAGGGTGACTGTGGGCAGGTCATACCCAAATGTTGTTGATTAAACCCTGTGATAGGGTTGTCTTAAGGTCGCCATAAGATGGAAATGATTGGAAGATACACAACAACAACTGGCAATTCAAAAGACAGCAAGAGTCCTGTTGGATGGGAATCACACAGTGATCTGTAAAACAGCATATTGTTCCTGTTAATCAGATTTGATATAACCGATTGCAGAGTGCTTTAGAAATTAGGCCAAGTGCCACATGTTGCCAGCCCTGTCCTTAAGACTAACAAATGCTCTGCATCATAGGCTTTTGTGGCTACAGTAGGTGAATATAGTAGAATCCACCAATGGAGATTGACATTCCACTTTGGATTTCTGCCGAAAAGGGCTCTGGTTCACAAAATGTAGGCCATAAATGTGTTACCACAACCAATCACAGCAGGGCTGGTGGCGGCTGGTGGTGGCTGGTGGCTCCCATGTTAGTGGGATGGTGAATCAACTTGGACTTTAGTCTAAAGCAGTGGTTTCCAACCCTAAAATGAGGTCCATGGCTGGGGGTGCATACCACCATTGGAGGAGAGTGAGAAGGAAAGGGGGAGAAGGAAAGAAGGAAGGAGGCCAGTGCCATTGCCATCTTACAGCTTCTGTGGCACTGCTGGAAGAGAGCAAGAGGGAGGAGAGTCTCCCGTTGTTGTTGTTGTTGTTGTTGTTGTTGTTGTTGTTTTTGTTAGCTCCCATTGCCACACATCCGTTGTAATGGGAAACAGCCCATTGTAAGACCCTCTTTAGTCTCCCAAAGTTCCTCTTCCTCCTCTTCCTCCCCTTCTTCTTCTTCTTCTTCTTCTTCTTCTTCTTCTTCTTCTTCTTCTTTGCTTCCATTGCCAAACACAAGAGTTGTAATGGGAAAGCAGCCCTATGTAAGACCCTGTTTAGTCCATTAAAGTTTTTGTTGTTGTTGTTGTTGTTAAAGCCATTAGGGACAGTTTCTTGTATCTCATGCTCGGCTTTTTGTATTCTTTTCAACCTCAGTCCCCTTTCCTTTTTTTAACATGAGTGTTAACAACATTCCATGGATAATAACACAGCCCAACCAAAAAAAAATTCTTGGTGTTTTTGTTTTTAGGCCTGTTCCTGGGGTTATTTGGGGTGCTGATTCAGAAATTTGCATTGGATAGATCATATCAGCTCGAGATTATTATATATGGTTTTATGTGGGTGAGCAGATCGTGGCTAATGTATGGCATATGTTTTGTATCAGAAGCTAGAGCTGATGTGATCTATCCAATGCAATTTTCTGAATCAACAACCCAAATAACCGAACCAAATCTAAAGTTGATCACAATCTGACTCATAACCCTTTTGGTACAAATATTGGAGAGTGGTCCCGGGTCAAGTGGCCCCTGGTCAAAAAAAGGTAGGGAAACACTACTCTAAAATTTAAGAAAACTGTCCAGGGTACTGGAATCCAGCTGCATCCTTTAAATCTGAAACTAAAACTCAGATTGGAATCACCATACAGTGATGCTGGAGTGACTAGTTCCCCATGATTATGGCAACTCAGAAGTATGTTTCATTGAATTAAATGCAATTTGCTCTTTTACTAAGACACATCAGATAACACCATTCATAGGACTGACTGGACTTTAATAGCAAGTGACTTTTTCATCATATGTACTCTAAGAGAGATAAAACCTCACATATGAGAGCAACTTACAGCCCTATGGTGTACACAGATATTTGTGTAACATACGTATGTGTATAAATATATTCTCAAAAGTCTTTTTAAAAGCCTGCATGTGAATCCCTTCTAAAGAAAACTCTGCACGCTTTGAAACTTCTCCTGACCTCTGAGGCCAAAGAAGAACAAAATAAAGTGGTAACAAAAACACAACTGCCTGCCAACAAAGAAAAGGAGTTCCTGTTGAAGGGCTGAAACAATAAATCTGCTCCATGCGGAATTCCCAGAGGGAGTCTGTCGTGTTTCCTCCCGTTCTTTATCAAGATCCCCAAAATAAGTGGGAATGGGCAGCGGCTGTTCAGTCTTTTCTTCTACTCACCTTTCCTGTTCATACTCAACGGGCAAGAGAGTTTTGTGCCCATCTTGGTACTACTGGTGGCAGTTGTGGAAAGGAATATGCCTGCAGGACAGAGAATAATGGCTATGATGCTTTTGGGAACAGCTCTCCTTTCTCTGGTTTTCTTCAGTTCCTGCAGTGGAGATGTTGGTGGTAAGGACAGAGTCCTCTTTGCTATTCACTTAACTACTACTAGCCTCTTGGGGATTTCTTGCTATTATATTGCTGTTTCCTTCTCATTACCACAAGGGCAGGATTTGGGTTGGCTACATGTTGAAAGGAGAAGGAAGGGACAGATCAGCAAAACCATTCTATGACTTCATTCACAGACAGAGTATACATACATAGTGCTAGAGGCTCATGCTTGAATCTTTCTCTTTTGTTGTTGTTGTTGTTGTTTTTGTTGTTGTTGTTGTTGTTGTTATATTATGTGGAGATCTGGAGAATCAATTCTTTGGATTCTTTCCAAAATCTAGAAATCTTTGAGGTATCATGGGATAATGTGGCATCCAAGCAGTATCACTTTGTGCAAATTCTGCTTTTGCATACTTGGTCCAGATCACAAGACGTTCCAAGTTAAGAATAAATCTGCCAGTTTAGACAGCAGTTAGCTTTGTTGAATTCATTGTGTTCCATAATGCAAGAAAGATGGGATATCAATAAAACAAAACAAAATAAACAGCAAATGATCTCCACCTGAGCAAGCATGGATAAGATTGTACTGCAATGCAAAATGCATACATATACACAGAAGTGATTCCCTTTTGTGATCTATAATTTATGCCCAGGTAACTTTGTACAGGAGCATTAGACAAGTTGCAAAGCAAAGATTTCATTATAATTTTACTTACCAATGTATTTATGTGAAACAGAAGAGAGGATGGTTCTTTCATTATCATTGAAAATTTCCAATTTTATTTTTAATTTTGATATTGATATTTTTATTGGAGAATAAAAATTATAATGCAATACAGAGGCATGTCTATAACATGCCATCTTCTGCAAATTCTTACAGAATGGGATGCTATTGGTAAAATACAGTGAAATACAGCTAGGACTAATTCTTCCTTTCTTTAAAACTTTTTCCCCCGGATTGCAATGACTAGAAAGGTATATACCATTGGTCATACCTGATGTACCATAATATAGCTCATTTTTCTGATATATATATATATATATATATGGTCAGTTGCAGTTTTTTAAAAAAAGAACGTGATTCAAAATGGTGGCCAAAATTAGCTTTAATTTTGTTGGAGGGAGGAGGAATTTGCTATGATTTTGTGTCTACAATAGGCCCTTGGTATCCAAGCTACATGCACATACATGGCGTATACCAAAATCTATGCTTGGTCAAGTTCCAGTATATACTTCCGGTACCAATTCAAGGTTCAGGTTATTACCTGCAAAGCCTTAAATAGTTCAGGTCCAGCTTATTTTCGTGATTGCATCTTCCCCTATGAACCTGCATGAGCTCTAAGATCTTCTGGAAAGGCCTTTCTCTCGTTCCCACCTCCGTCACAAGCGTGGTTGGTGGGGATGAGGGAGAGGGCCTTCTCAGTGGTGGCCCCCCGGCTTTGGAACTCTCTCCCCAGGGAGATTAGATTAGCATCCACCCTGTCTACTCTCCATAAAAACATGGATGTTTCAATGTGCTTTTGATAATCAGTTCACTAGATAACTTTGGCCCCTACAGCCATAACTTAATATCTGGCTTCTGCATTTTATCATTGTCCCTGCCCTATAGTTGTATTGCACTAATTGACTTGGCCCTCCTAGCCCATACTTATCACCTGGCTCTTGCAATTTTTCATTAGTCCTGTCCCTGCAACTGTTTTGCACAAGCCCCTACCTCACCCCTTAGCTTAGTATGTGACCACTATGTTAGGCTATTGGTTGTTGATGATGGTTGTGTTTTTATGATGTTTTGTATTTGTAATTTTGACTGTTTTAATTTCTGTTTGACTGGGCTTGTTCCCCATCTAAGCCACCCCAAGTCTCTTCAGGGAGATGGTGGCAGGATACAAAAATAAAGTTGTTATTATTATTATTATTATTATTTTACTGACACAAAAACACAGTATGTCATAGCAAACGAGATCTATATGCTGTATTTGTATCACAAAATCACAAGTCGAACACTTCCCAAGTGTGTAGGACTGTGTGATGTATTTTTGAAAGTTGAGCACAGATCCAAGTAAAATGGCCTTTTGCAGTTGACAGATTGTGATTTTGTCAATGTTGATTGCTTCCAAATGCTGGCTGAGATCTTTTGGCATGGCACCCAGTGTGCCGATGACCACTGGGACCACCTATACTGGTTTATGCCAGAGCCTTTTATTATTATTATACTACAATGGGATAGTAAAAGGGTGCTCCTTATGTATAATTGCCTTTTAAAAGAAGATGCATACTTTCCAATAGGTATTATAACACGCTAGATGATAATAACAGCCTTCTATATATCAAGCTGCTCAATTCTAGCAGAATGCCCTGCATTTAAGTGATTCCATAATCATAGGTATCACATTGACGTGTTTGCGGTGGGCTACTTGTTAGGAGCTCAAATAGACAGCACACTGCTGTGGTCTGTCTCACATTCTCCTTCTGGCTCATAGCCGTTCTCAGAAAGCAAAGAAAATAATTGGTGTTGTCACTATGGCTGACATTATCACTGAAGTGTCTGCTTTCAGTTCTATGTTGTATCAGCACTGAATGCTGAAAATCTTTTGCAGAACCCAGTTTCTGCTCTCTGACAATCTGACAATAGCCTTGCTGCCATTGTTGAGTTCTGAATGAACTGTATGGAATTTCACAAAGCAAAATGAAGAAAGATCAATAGTGACAAACTCAGCTCTGCACTCTGTTTGTCAGAAAGCAATACTGACAACGGATGCCTGAGCTCTTTCATGCTATTTCTTTGTTCTGCTCAAAAGCAATTGGATAAGTGGCTTCAGGACAAAGATATACATAAGCATTACATAAATAAATGTATACACACCTGCCACCAAGGTGAAGTGTTACCTTTACGATTTTACCTATTGTTCAGAAAAGCCCATGAAGTCCTGAAAAATCCCTGATGAATTATAGAGAATAGGCTGTCCCATATTTGCTACTGGATATGTCTTTGGGCATCTATCTACTGTATGGATTTGCATCCATCTACTGTATGGATTTGCATTAGCAATGGACAGACCAGAGGCCAGATAATTAACCAAAGCAATTAGTTTTGTAAGTGAGCTTGCAACAGCAGTTCATTTATATTCACAAAGATACTCAGGACATTGCCCAAATGGTACAAATAAGTGTGATGGTACTATGTGAATTTGTGTGGACACCAGAAATATATCTCTAGGAGATAAAGTTTGCATGGGGATTTGTTGCAATTTCTGGTGTTTGTTCCTGGGTTTAAGATGTGTTTGTACTGGTGAGCAACTGTTTCCAAGTTGGAAAGATAGTAATTTATTGGTGCTGACTGAAGACTTGTAGACCCACAAATCTAAAGGATACCTGCTTTGGAGAGAAGTATAGCTATAGACAGGGCCATAGTCAGAAAARGATTCAGAAAACTTGGAATGATTCCATCAGCGCTGCCTCCAGAAAATCCTGCAAATCTCTTGGGAAGACAAGTGGACAAATGTCAGTGTGCTGGAAGAAGTAAAGACCACCAGCATTGAAGTTATGYTCCTCRGCCACCAACTCCGCTGGACCAGCCATGTTGTCCGGATGCCCAACCACCGTCTCCCAAAGCAGTTGCTCTTCWCTGAACTCAAGAACAGAAACCGGAATGTTGGTGGGCAGGAAAAGAGATTTAAAGATGGGCTCAAAGTGAACCGTAAAAACTCTGGCATAAAAACTGAGAACTGGGAACCCTGGCCCTTGACTGCTCCACCRGGAGGTCAGCTGTGACCAGCAGRGCTGTAGAATTTGAAGAGGCACYAATGGAGGGTGAAAGAGAGAAATGTGCCAAGAGGGAGGCGCATCAAGCCAACCCCAGCTGGGATTGTCTTCCACCTGGAAACCAATGCCCTCACTGTGGCAGAAGATGCAGATCAAGAATAGGGCTCCACAGTCACCTACGAACTCACCACCAGTACACCAATCTTGGAAGACTATCCTACTCGGAGAACAGGGGATTGCGTAAGAGTAAGAGCCAGAAAAAAATTCAGGGGAGGGGGAGTTGAAACTGTTCTTTAGCGAATCATGAAAAGTAGTCCCATAACACAAAATAATTTAAATAGTATGGTTCATTCTATATTTTATATAGACTTAATTCAATCAATTTTCTATTTTGGTTACAAAGTTTCAAGTCTTAAAATAACTGAAAGTGGCTGTTAATTGGTAATTTATTGTTACAAAAGAATGCCATGATGTCTGTTGGAAACAATTGAAAACTGTGTCAATACACTTTGACAGAAATCAGGCTCCATTGATAAACTTCAGTGGACACTCAAGAGTGCAAGTCCAATCAGTCTTTCTTGCTCCATTGTACTTCTTATGTATGCTTTCAAATGTTTAAGAGTTGAAAACTACCTATGTATAGGTATAGCAATGGGAACCCTACTATCTGGAAAATGGGAGGGGGAGCAAGGCAGAGGGGGAGAAAGCAAGGCCTAGTTCCCCATTAGAAACCTGCCTCCTACCTCATGCGGAAGTAAAGAGCACGGGGGGGGGGGGGGGCAGAGCAGCCTTAAATAGCCTGCAGCTCCACCCCTGTCAACCACCCCCGCCAAGTTGCTTCCACTATATCGGCTATTGCTGCAAGTAATGACAATGTTAATATATTGTCAAAATTGGTTTGAGATAGTGCTTGCAGTTCTAGAGGGACTTGTTTAATTTTTGCTTCTCATAGACTTACTATGGGGATTTGGTTTACCAGTTAAAATTCATGACTAAACCAGGTTTTTCAAACCTGAAAATTTGGGGGAGGGGTGAACCCCTACCCCCCTCCCCTTGGCCACAGGCCTGGCTATATACCACACACCACAAGTTCACCCCTTTTCCTAGCAGATTCTGATGTGTAGAATTTGTTTGAGCCACATGGGATTGTTTGAAATGAGCATTCTGTATCTTTGGAAAGGTTGCCTGAACTCCACTAATGGCATCTGATCTATGTTGCTCTTAAGTAACCTGGCAAGTGAATGGCTTGACTTTTG